AGTGGTTAGTTCCTCCCAGATTATTCTGTTGTTTGATAATAATGAGGTGAATAGGAGAAACGGACTTGCAAAGATCTCTTTCAGAAACTTTAAAAGACTTTAAGTATCAACTTAGTCTATTTCCTCTATTTCTATTGATCTAATTCCCTCACCCCCACCCCAAGTATTATGCCATTGATCAGGCTGGCTTTGGCTAGCATCACACAACATCCTTACCCAAAGTTACCCAATTTCCTGGACTGGAACAACAATTCAATTATAAATTCATCATACTGGCTGGGTTCACACCAGGCTAAAATATGGTTCAGTGTGTTGTGTGGCCCCCAGATTTGACTTGTATTTAATTTGTTCTTGGATGTTTTACAAGGTGGCATTATTATAGTCCAATTATTATCACCTGGTGTCAAATTTGGTGGGCAGCATCATCCCAAGATGTTGTATGGCACAGAAAGGGGCAGGACAAGAAAAATCAAGAATAGGAACCTTAGCCATATTGTAGATGTGTGATTTTGATAGGCTGAAGAAGATGACTATGAGAGCTGAATAACAGCTTCAGCTTCTGGATCTGGCTATCATAATCATTTATACCCATCTTTCTTTTGAGAGCTCAAGGTGGCTTACAAGGAGATCTCTTAATTTTATTCCCATATCAATTCTTTGAGATGTGTATGGCTAAAAGAAAGTTATTGATTCAAAGTCACCCAGTGAAGTCTGTGGTTAACTAGGACTTGAACATGGATCTACTTAGTCTGACTCCAACATTTTAACCTCTACACTTACTGGTTGGACAGAAAACAAACAGAAAACATTTTAAGCATATTTATATATATAATAGTAGCAAATATATTTATAATGTGCCTATAGCTAAGTGCAACAAAACATATATTAGAAACTCATATTTTAATAAAATTATGTTCTGAAAACAAATGCTTATAATAGCCAGATATGGCAACAACATCTTGGTGAATGGAGAAATCATAGTTTGAACTGACCACAGGCTACCGCTTGTGCATTCAGCTATGTCACTATTTGTCATAATAAATATGAGGAAACCAATTATTCCATGGGAAAGGAATAAAAATACATTACAGTAGATAAGGATGCAGAGGTAGGAAAAACCAAGAAATAATAAGAAGCTATTATCACTAATAATTCCTCAGTTATTTAAAAGGGAACCAGTTGGATTATAAACCAAAAAGATTTCATTAATAAGAAAGTAGTACAGTTTATTTATGGGTAAGTATGAAACTTGGCCATCTTCAAAGACATTGCTGAGTAATATAGTGTTATCCTAAATATTGTTTAAAACTTTAATTTTAAAGCTGCTTCCTGCTAATAATAGAATGGCAAAGCTGTGGATATACTGTAGAAATTCAGAAAAACACCAGCCCATGGTGGAAAAGTAGAATATAATTCCAGTGAAGGAAGGAAGGAATACCAATTTTTCTGAGATCAGAGAGAAATAATACATAGTGCAAATTTACATGTGTCTACTGAGAAGCAGGCTTCATTATATTCAAGGACTTACATCCAAGTAAGTGTAAATAGATTAAAGTTATTGAAGCTAAAATGTCAGTTACATGCATTAAAATTTTTACCCTAACCCAATCTAATCTTCTTTTACATATTCTTGACTTCTTTTCCCATATAACTTGTTCTTCACTGGGTACAAATCATGAACCCAGATCTGTGATCTATTCTGGGTACAAATCATGAACCCAGATCTGTGATCTATTCAAAACAGGGAAGTGGATGCAATCCCAAATACATGAATGGTCTGGTACAAAGAAGGGGTGCAGAGCAAGAAACTGGAACCTGGCCTTGGCTGGAGTTAATGAGCCATAAATGGGAACAATCTGTAAATGCACATCTGGCTCTGAGTTACTATAGAGGTGGACTTCTAGGACTGTGCCAAAAAACACTAGTAGAACTCCAGAAAGACTTGGTCAAAGATAACTACTGTACAAGTGAGATATAATATGGGTGGAAGGTAAATGACTGACAACATGCCAGCCATGGCAGGGTATACTATAAAAAAAACAAATAAATGTTACTTTTTTAGGAGTCAAAACCTCTTGCCAATCTACTGGAAGCCTCCTAAAGATCTATCATGAGAGCTTGATCTAATCTCTGCGTATCCCTGTCCTACTACAACTCAGTTTAAGTACCTTTAGCTAAAACAATTACATATAAATTTAATAAATAAATAAAATAAATATTCCTTTTCTGTTTCCATTTGTATCAATGGCACCATTAGATTAGAAGGGGATCTGAGTATAAAAGAACTACTGGGACTTCTAGGTCCCTTATCCTAGTTCCTCCACTCCAGTTTGCCTGCTTCCTCTGTTGTCACCACACTATTTTTCCCCTGCTGGTAAAAAGTGAAACTTCCCCCTTCCTTTCCTTGCCAATACAGTAGTCTGTCACTATTAATGTCTATCCACCCCCATCCTCGCTATGGAGTCCTGGACCTATGTCCCATTGTTCAGTCCTGGAGGTGTCACTGGCATTCACTTCACTTCCCTATTTCCCCATCTATAATCTCGGTGGGATAGGGAGCTGTTCTTATGCTAAGAAAGCTGTTTGTGTTCTACAAATGTCACATATATTGATAGCACTTCAGAAATAAAGTATCTAATTTGTGAGTTAGTCATCTTATATATACAGGGATAAACTGTATGCAAAAAGGCATGGCATGGGCCACAAAAATCAGGTAATGACTCAAACTGAACAAAAGAAACACATTCCTGAATCTCCAAGATATTAAAAAATAATAATAATAATAATAACAAATAGAGTGGGTCATTGAAGATCTTCTCATATGGGCATCACTTGGTCTAATACCTTCCCTGTCTCCAATCACATCTCCAAAACAGTGATTCATGTAGTGAAGAATGAGATGAGATGAATACAAGTAATTGTACAGTAGTTATATATGCTTTAAAAATATACAACATATGCTTTCTTTTTCAGTTCAAAACAGAAGTATACGTCAGCTGTTTAATAGTGATGGTGGTGGGGAGCCCCTAGTTGCACAGAGAAGTTACATAACTTTTCATTGTCCTGAGAAGAATGAAGCCCAAAAGTAAGAGTCTGAATCTTAGGCCAGTCCTGTAGCTATTAATCTCATCTGAAGACACTTAGAGTTTAGGGCGATGTCTGACAGAAAGGAACATCAGGATAGATTAAACATCATAATCTTTATTCAGCTGCAAATTATGGACAGGCTGATTGAGGGTTGACTGATAGATACACTTGTAAATTAGTAGTAGGCTGACCAGAGTATGCTGAGGGAAAGCAAGGACTGAAAGATCTTGGGGTAGTTATAGCAATTAAATCAGTTCTTGTTACCCATTTCAACTAGGACTGCAGGGACATAATTTTAATTAAAGCATATAAAAAGTTGTTTTGTAAGGGCTCTTCACATATGATTGTTTCAGAATGGTTAATCAGACATCATATTTTGATGTTCAGAGAACCATGGGACTACCTTAAATGGCTGCCAAGAGAATTATCTCTCAGTCAGGATGCCCACAATGGAGAGACCATGCAAGAAGACTTCAGGAATTTGTCATTTACACATAAAAGTCACATAGTCATCTACAGTTTGTAACACATGCCTTCCAATTCAAAATTATTATTTTCCCTCTACATTTGTTCATCAAAATGGATGAGATGGTCACCTTAAAGTTTTCTTTAGGTAACTCCCATAGGTGTAGCCAGCCTACCGACCACTTGAGGTTTGAATAGAGTTTTCCAGATGGGATTCAATTTGAGATTTCTCTGTCTCTACATACATTCCTGTGTCAGTCTAAAAGCATAGGTCTGCCTTACTACCAGCAACAGCCCAACTAAAAAAAACAAAGTTTGTTTCTTCCTGGTTTGGGCATATACTCTCTCACACACATACACGCCCACACACAAACATTATCAGGTGGCCACTTAGGAAAGGCTTATGCAGATTATTACAACTAAAATTTGCAATGTGATTAAACATTAGAAAGAAGTGAAGTGTGTATCTATTGCAGTTCCGTCCAACCATATTTTTCAGCACAATGAATTATGAAATTTTTGCTGCTGTCTAGAAAGGACTTGACTGTTTCTTTCCAGAGCTATGGAACTAAATGTATTACCCGCAGAAGGCAGGACTGGTGTAGAAGATTTTACCTGGTAAGAGCTGAGCTTTACTGCTGCCAAAGTTAGAAAGCTACAGGCAGGTATGGCTCAGGTTAGATAAGAGTTTGGATGGGTGGAGCAAGTGAACAATACACTGAAGTGCCTTTCTTTCAGCAACCTTGGTTCAAAAGAAGGTTAAATTCCAAGGAGAGGTGAGCACCCTGCACACAAATGAATAGATTTAAAGCCCTTTATTTTTTATTTTTGAGATCACTCAAGAAGTCACATGAAAGCTGAATGTTCTGTTACTTCCTTAAATTGGATGATGCACTGACTTCTGCAAAGTATTAATCTGATGCTTCCTTCAGTTCCACATTATAGGAATCAACCTGGTAAATATTGCTTGGGTTTGTACAATGTTAGATTGGGTTAAATTGGGTTAGTAGTTTGTGGTTAGTATAGCTGTGGGAACCCAACCATTATCTTATCATGTTGTGTGCACCAAGCCAACACATTAATCCATAACTAACTTTATTTATTTGAATGGTTTATTTTATTCAGTGGAGCATAAGAACTGTATTTTGTTAATCCAGGTTTAAGGTTTAGAGTGACGCGAACCCAGCTCTTGGGTGCTTACCCATTTGCAGAAGCAAGTCTGGTTTCATACGCATGGCAGGTATGAAAAGATCCTATTAAGTTTGAGGCGTTGGCGTGATTAAATGGATACTTGGACCCTCCAACCAAGACATGTATGTGGCCTCTGCAAGCTACAATCATCTAATGACATTGACTTGAAGTTATTCTCTGCCACTCTTGCAATTAGTAAAACTGGGCCAGGGATGCTTGACCAAAAAATGTGTATATTTTTCCTTTCAGTTCCAAGAACCATGATCACCCACTTCTCATCCACAGGAGAAAAGATAAGAAAGGCCTAATTCTCATTTGCTGCTAACTCTCACTGGGTGTCTTCAGTGGTAAGAAAATGAATCAGCCATTGTAGAAATGAAATATTGGGTCTGCCCGTGAAGAAGTTTAGTTCTCCTTCCTGGGATAGGTGGGCAAAACATTTTTAAAGAGTATCTGGTAGAAATGTGGGAGTGTAAAGGAAAAAAAAGAAAAGGCATGTGCCTCCCAATTTCTTGTGGGTATTTAAATGTGCACCTGCTTTTCTATTGCCCAAGTCTTAATGTGACTACATGCTCTCTGAAGCAGTACTGAAGCCAGCACCATCAGGATGTGCCCATTTGTTCTGCTGTCCTGTGCTTCTTGGACCTAATGCTGAAGCATTTTGCAACAACCTAGCTATCTATTCTCCACAGATCCCTCACTTTGTACACAGAAAGCCAACTGTTGCCTTCTCTCTCATCATACAGTTTTTGATGCTCTTCTTATAGTCAGGAACATTCTTCTTCCCATTTGTTCCAAGGTGTCACGCAACATCCTCCCCCACATTGTCAGATTTCTGCTAAGAACTCTGCTGCTTGCAACTAGCATTCCACCATGAACCACCCAGCCATTGCTCTTATGGTACTTGGTAATCCTTTGATTTAGCTCACGTTACAGTATAATTAAAACCATCAGAATACAGAGCTAACAAGATTATCTACTTTCCTTTTATGTGGCAGCCTTTCAGCCTCCCTGTGTTGTCTCCTTAGACTGTAAGTTCTTTGGGACAGGGAGCTAGGCAGCTAGTTCTTGTAGCCTTTTAAGTCCCCTTAGCATACTGCATCCCCAAGGAAACTCTAATATTTACCACCACTGCCACTGCTGCTTCAGTCTGAATATTGAAATGGTATGCTTATTTTATCCTAACAACAATTCCTAAAGCAGTGTCTCAACCTCAGCAACTTTAGGATGTGTGGACTTCAGCTCCCAGAATTCCCCAGCAAGCATGCCAAAATTCTGGGAGTTGAAATCTGCATACCCTAAAGTTGTTGAGATTGAGAAACAGTACCCTAAAATACAACCCTAACCACCCCTAGGATCCATTACAACACACCTGTGGTTGTGAGCCTCAAAAGTACATTCCAGCTAGCCCAGAGACTCTACTTTCATATCTGCTGCTAGAGTACAAGGGAAAACTAAATGTGTCACGATTCCTAAAACCTTGATTTATTGTGTGAGAGGTCCATATTTTAATACCCATATGGGCACAAAGCTCATTAGCTAGCTGTTACAAACTGAAAGGGAATAATTGAAACACCTTCCTAGCAATCTCCTTCTAAGGGTTCCCCAGAAAAAGATTATAATTCTCCTAGGCTGCCAACAAGCCAGGCTCAACCTCTTGAAACTCCCAGTCTATATAACTAGGGAGTTTTAAAGTTCTTTTATATGAGGTGAAAAAGCTTTCATATCACCATCTTCTGTGAACTTAGGAAGATAACTGGCATCTACTAATTCGGTTCTGCTCCCATGGCTGGCTGTCTAGAGACTTAGGGCTCATCTGGATGGCCTGCTTGTGCCAGCACCAAGATAATAAGGATAAGAATAAGAATAGAAAGAATTGGAGAAAAATCACAACATATAAAGATCTGCAAATAGAATGACTATGGCAAAAGAAAGCTAAGATAGTACTAGTTATAGGTACCTTAGGTGCAATCCCAAAACATCTGGAGCACCACTTGAAGACCATCGGCATTGACAAAATCACCATCAGTCACTTGCAACAGGCAGCGTTACTTGGAACAGCTTATATCTTGTGACAACATCTTTAACACCATCAAACAACAATATCCGCCTATCCCAGGTCATTGAGAAGGACTCGATAGGTGGATAAAAATGCCAAATCCAGTCTAAACATCTGGCTGACTATGTGACCAACAATAATTTATTAAACTTGTATGCCACCTGACTCACAGTGATCCTGGGCAGCTCACAGCAATCAAACAAATTACAATAAAATCAGTAAAACGATAAAGATAAAAGGTCTGGGTGAAGAGCCAGGTCTTCACAGCTCTTCTAAACAACAGCAGAGTGGGATCTATCCAAATCTCAAGGGGTACCTCATTCTAGAGGGCAGGCGCTGTTCCAGAGAAGGTGCGCTTCCAGGTCCTGAAAGATGACATTGTTTAATCGAAGGAACCTGGAGCGTGCCAACCCTGCAGGATCAAATTGGCCAGGCAGATGTTATGGGAGACAGGTGGTCTCTCAAATAACCAGGCCCTAAGCCGTGTAGAGGCCCTGCTGTTTGTTGAAGTGAATGCATAGCCCCCTTGGTCCACTGTAAGGGCAGCATTCTCCTGTCTTTTCTTGATGCATGTTAAAAGTGGTGTTTTCTGACTTCTGCCAGCAGAAACAAAGCTGGGCAGTCTGCCTGTGGCATTCAGTTGGTTGTAGGTATTGCCTCTACTCAAACTAGCTAACAATCGGGAGTCTGGTAAACCTTTTCCAACTAACATGTTTTATTAAAAGGCATACATTTTTGTGAGCTGCAGCTTCTGCCTTTTCATAAAATGTGTTTGTTGAAAAGGTGCTACCAGATTCCCAATTTTTTGCCACCATAGACTAACACAACTCTCCTTCTACAGTGTCTCAAAATAGCCAGTGTATGCAATTGCTGGCATGCCCCCTCCCCTCTGATCACTGGTATCTGGCCTCCATCGCCATTTCATTGCAGACCACCTTCAGAAGGAATCTTTCCATGTAAAGCCTGGGTGTGTTTTGTTTGGATAGGCATGCCTTGGACTTTAGAGGGTTTCCTGCAATAACAGAAAGCATTGATATACTGGAATTCACCAGGACACCAATTCATGCATGAGCAAGGCACCGGGTACTGCTGAACAGTTTAAGAACTTGGATGATGTGGCCGTTGCTTCCATCTACTGGTCCTGGTTTGTTGTGCAGTGAGGCTGTGCCATTTTGCCAACTCAAATGCCATTTTGGGTACTCCGTGGGATACTTCTGGATACTGTGGCCACTTGCTGCCAGCATTCCTTTGCAACACTGAGACTATAGCCTGAGCTGATGGGTGAGTGCGCCCTCACAGGATATCATAGGCAATGAGTAGCTTTTTACCTGTTTATATTGCATTATGTTATTTTAATTTGTTGTTATCTTCACTACCCAGTGTCCATCAGAATTGGAGCACATTAGACATTTTGTTAAATAAGTATGAAAGTTCTCCCAATTTCCCTTTCTAGCCTAAGTGACAGGAAGAGTGATAAATCTAACAGTCTTCAGTAAGATGGGTAAACATTTGTCCAAAAATAGCCCAGCTGACAGCTTAATTGGATGGGGGAGTTTCAGAAGTTTTACCCCATATTACTCCTCTGCCCCACTGGCCTGTCAGCTGGTCTGTTTTTAAACAGAGGATTACCAGTCTTACACAAGACCAGTAGACAAGTCACCATGCTTCCCTAGCTGGTAAGAAGACCTATAGACCTGCCTTCAGAAACAGACCATGTGCCAGTGTACCGGTTTGGAGCACCTCTGCCTGTCAGTTTGAAAGGTGGCTAAAGCCCCCATCCTGGGACCCAGCCACTCATTCAAGCCCTCCCTGCCTCAGAGAACAACTGGTAATGGATTTTCCCACTAGCAGCTGACCCTGGATGGGAGGAGAAACAAAGCTGGGGAATCTTGCCATGAGTAGCCAGAGCAGGGAGAGAAAAAGGAAAGTGGACACCAGAAGAATCATTCCTTGCTCTGCCTCTTGCCTCCTTTACTTCTTGATGAACAACATTATGAATTCTGCTTCATTACCAAGGTAGAAGAGGATTTGGAAATGTGAATGGCCTTTCCTCAAGCCATCTAACTTTAAGCTGACTTCCACACTGGATAACAGCACTTACTGAAGAGCCTTTATTCTGACACCTTCTGTTTGCAGCTCAAGCATCCTTTCCCTTTGCCACCACCTCTTTTTCCTCTCTCTTGCCCTGGTTTCTCTATTCTCATTTCAACTGAACAGAATTCTGCTTTTCTGATTCTATTGGAAGCTGGCATATCATAGACCCACCTCTTGTTTTCATTCTTGCTATTTCCTAGCCCAGAAATAAAACAAAAGACTTTTTATATGTCAGCTTGCACTTCCAATTTCTAAATTACATTTGAGAGTTTGTTTTAACCACCCTTTTCAACTTGGAATTTCTCTGAAAACATATTTTAAGAGCTTAGCCAGCAAATTTGAAATTATCTAGGATCTAAACCCACCTTCCTAACAACCTTTGATAGACTTATAAAGTACAGTACTGTATAGTTTCCTCCAAGACTCCTCCAAAATTCCTCCTCCTTCTGAAGCTGCTGACTTTGTATGGAAGCCCCAGTGTGTATGAGCTATCATAAGAATTGCTTGAGCCATGGTTTTTATCTTCTTTTTAAAAGCTTAATAAAATTACGTTAAAAAATAAATAAAATAATAGGAAAAAGCAAGCTACCTGCAGAAAGACTGGATGAAGTTTTCTCATTGGCATGCTAGAGCTTCATGATTATGATGTTTATAAATGCATGGGAGAGCATTTATTCTTGTGGTTGTTACATTTTTATTCTGAAATCGTATAGCCCTAGGTAGGATGAGTCTAGGATGATTTCTAAATATGCAGTTTGGCTGGAAGACATGGAAAAAGGTGGCCTTTTCTACACCTTGAGACAAACTTTACCAAATTTTGCTTAACAAAAGGATATAACTGAGTTAAGTAACAGAAGCACCTAGAGAAGACTACACAACCAGCTTTTTGCCTGAAATATGATGTCGCTCAGGGAGGATTTAGATAATATCTGTACAGAACCTGAAATGGCTGTGAAGAGATTTGACACTCATTGGAGAAGGGAGGGGAGAGAAAAATAGAAGGTTAGCTTGATGTCATACCTTATGACATTTAAAAGGAAATGAGACTTCTATGCGTGAAGCCTTAAATGAGAAATATTCTGCCTGATGAGAGCTGTTCTTTTGACAGACAGTTAATGACTGGAGCAGTGCAGACATAACATGATTATTGAAAAAGAGGAAGACCAGTCACATTGCTTGTCATTGGCTGGAGGG